ATTGAATGTTCGGACATTTTTTTTTTTCAAGTAAAACAGAATTTGAAGAAAATCTCACGAACCTTTTTTTTTTTTTTTTTTTTTTAAATTTTGCTGGTGTCAAAAGAAACAGAAATATGCTGATGATGATGTTTTGAAACAGCATGATACTTCTCTTCTTATAAATTGTATCCATTGTTTACAAGTGTTTAAAAGAAAAAGGTGATCTCTTACACCACATTCGAATGCGACATGATTTGATGTGAATCTTATAAAAACGAAGAAACGTTGACATCGTTAATACATGCAAGTCTTCTAAAATCGCAAGTCTTAATAGTATGTTCGCAATTGAATCGATTTGCTAGAACATAGAAAATGATCATGTCTTAGATGTACTTCTTGAATATATAAAATTGTAGTTAGTAGGGAAAAAATGAGTTATGATGTAGTTTTACACTGAGTTATGATATCGGTGTTTGAAATGGTAATCAATAGTTACATTTAAAATGTGTCGTGAGTGTGAAAATGCAGAAATAAAAAGCTTTGGGCTTTGGCGAATTGAATAAACGTGGTTCAATGTGGTTGATGGAAAAATTTGTTCCATGTGAATTAAATAGTGTAAGATATGAACCTCTTTCTCTCAATAGTTAATTATTCAATTGTAAGACAATTAAACTTTAAATATATATGCATATAGTACTTGTAATGATTAATAATATACATTGATTAATGTAAATAAGTGATGATATGTGTATTAACATAACATAGTGAATGTTCGCTTTTATGAAGTTCTAAGCATTACTTTAGAATACCATTCATAAAATTTTTATCTCATATATACAAACATGACAATATCTATTGAGTTTTCGTTTATTCTTTGGAATGTATGAAAGTTTAAATATTTTTTTTTTTAATTTAATGTAGATTGGAGTAAAATATCTGTATCTTTCTTCATTTCAATCGGTAATATCTGTATGCTGGTAAAGGTACATATGTTCGTAAGAATTATACTGTGTCACATTTTTGACAATCTTCTTTCATTCATATTAGCTAATAAGAGAATTATTGAAGTTAGTAAAGTAATGAAAATCAACGTTATTGAAAGAAAACTCTAAAAGCATTTACATTTCCAGAAATATATCAAAGTTCCTTTTCTTAAAAACAGCAGGTGTATCGTAGTTTTTATTTCTATTTCATTAAAAGCTGAACTTGTAAAATAAAAATTTTCTATTAGTGTAAGGTAAACAAAAAGAAAATCAAGAGACAATCCGTATCATGAATGAAATTCAAGTCTTACATCGGATTAAAAAGAAATATTCTGAATCTAAATGTTTATGCCTATTTAGCACAAAATGCGTTTATTTGTGTTATAAATTTAACTAAAACCATTCTTATAACAGTATGTTGTTGCCTTTAAACTGGGTAAAAGTGTTAAGTATATTTTCTGATGGTATTGATATACTTGTCAAAGAAGTTCTAGAAACCTCAAATGTCGAAAGAGCATATGATAAGAATCTCCTTTCCTATCGCTACATCAGTTACAGGTTAAGGGGTGGCTTGAATGGATAAAGGAAATGTTTGTGCAAAAATATAGTAGTTCTATTTTGAAATGAGAAATAATTCGCTTTTTGTCAATTAAGGAAACTTGTGGTATTATTAAACAGAATGTCAGTGAAAGACATTGCGTTTGCATAGTGAATGAAATATATTTATGAAGGTACTGAAAGGTAGTAAAGAAGGTGAATGAAAGAATTAATTTGAACAAATAAGGTAAGGCTATCATTAAAAGAAAAAACTGTTTAAAAGATGTATGTTAGAATTAAAAGTAAGATGTTAAAATTTAAAAAAAGATGTAACAGAGTAAAACCAAAGAATACTGGTAATTCCCATCTGGAAAACAGTAATTTGAGTACGATATTGAAAAAGTTGGTTTTAAGAATTTCTTTATGCATGTGATGCAAAACAATTGCTAGTTTAGCATGAGTGCTGACATAGATGCAATTAGTGCAGGAAAAATAGTAAAATTAGTATAGTTAGTGTCTCTAAAACATGAAAAAATAATAGTGTGAGCAGTGTAAATTCATTTGAAGTACCGAAATATGACATAGACTAAATATCAGAAAATGTAAGAAATATTTTGGTGTGTGTGGATGAAACACTGAACGTGGTTGTAAAATTAGAAATGAAAATTATCAACACACTTAAAGGTAATCGGTAAAGTTATTTTCGGGATTTAAAACTAAATATGATGTTAGAAACTTTGAAGACCATAAAACTATATGAGAAAGAAATACATTTAGATATAAATGGTATTAAACTGTAAAGTTGTGAATGGAAATTTCTGAGTAAAACCTGTAGATGATCTATTATGATCGAGGAATAAAACAAGTATTATAAAAATTGTAAGGAAATATTTGAATATGGAGTAAATGAAAACAATCCATAGTCGTTAAAAAGTGAATAATGGCTAAATGGAATAAAATGTTGGAATTACGAGTGAATGAGACAGAAATAAAAACATTATAATAAATAAGTTAAGCTAGAATTAAGAAATATAAACTACAGAAGGGAAATCATGAACGTAAGAAAAGCAATTAACAGTTATAGACTTAAGTTTTTTTTTAAAAAAATTCGGGCAATGTAAGGAAGATATTGTTAAACACGTGAAAGAAATTAGAAATTCTGTAGAAAATTTAAGTAAAAGAACTAAGATCATGAAAAATAAACGTTTCTTTTTAAATAGAATTTCATAACCAAGTAAGTTAAAATGAAAATGTGTATAGAATAACTAGAACTGTTAAAAAATAACTAAAAAAAAAAAAGATGTCAAAAATTATGTTTTAAAATTAAAGGGTAAATAAACAGTAGTTATGTAAATGAAGTTAAAATTCAGAATATATTGAACATTATAATGTTAAAAAAAGTGTTAAACTTGCATCTAAAATTAAGTAATGTAACAAATAAACCAGCATGTGCGGGAACAATTACGTTTGTGAAATATAACGTATAAGTTAAAAATTCAGGGTATGCTGAAATTTATGAAAGGTATGAAAAAAAAATAGTATGTGGAAATCAAATAAAATATTACAAATTAGAAAACGTTTAAGTATTAAAAAAATATGACAGTAAATGAAATATGTTATTATGAACAGAAAACCTAAGAAATAAGTTAAAGTTTCATTTAAAACTAGAAAGGATAAAAGTATCAGAATAAAATTGAGTAATAAAAACAAATTATCTTGTAATTTCATTTTCATGACATGATGAACTATCATTAAAGGAAAGTCTTTTTTATATTTGTTTCTTTTACATTGTTTTCAGAGTCGCGCATTGAATAATTTTAACACCAGACTTAAAAAATATATTTCTAAAACATATAATTCACTTTTTCGTCCCTAGAGGACGCCATAAGCAATTCCTAAATACATTATTTTCTTTTTTCGTCCCTAGAGGACGCCATGACTCCGTTGCCAAATTAAAAAAAACTAACTTTAAATGAAAAGCAGGAGGTCTACAACTCAATCAGCAGTCTACCAACAACTCAACTCCACTCGAAACCACGCCTCCTAGTGTGATGACGTTGCCTTTGGCCCCGCCCTCTGTGATGTCATTGACCACGCCCCCCTGATCCACTGATCCACCTGTCGCAGAACTGTCATTTTCATGCTACTAATGTATGTGTGTTCTACACCTCAGAGATAAGGGATCTCCTGTAAATTTTTACCCAATGTTTATATAATAGGACACAATCTTATTCCTATAAACTCTTTCGCAAGATATATAATATTCAGCGATCACTGTGAATGTGATGAAGCGCGTATTAAAATCATTACTCATTCGACCACAGCTGACATCTGATATCCACCCCCAAAAATCAAATTCTGATCTTACAACATATCAAAAACATATTCTTATCAGATTATACCTCAGTAGCAAAATCATAAAGATACTGAAAAAATTTATGTCTCATAAAAACTTTCCAAGTACAATATACAGGAAAATTTACGCGTTACTCTCCTTATAAGATGCGTTACTCTGATAAGTAAGTAAATAAAAATCAGTGAGACATACTAGCAAACAGTTTAAACAGACAATGCGCATTCATTCAGTTTCTATAGATACGTTACTCTATGGAAACAAAACTGTTCGTAGCTATAAAAATAATTGTATGAGAAACACGCGAATTATTTAAAATTTAAAATCGGTCATAAAGGCAGTCAAAGATTTAGAATTTGATTAATGGCTATATTTTAAATAAAACTCTGTCGATTTCGAGGGCAATCATACAGACATCTCTGCTTTTCAGGAGAAAGAAATTTTTGCTTAAGTTTATTCTCCAAAAGTTCGTTAATATTCTGTTGCCCCACAAATAATTTTTATGGACAACCATATTTATATACATATTTATGGGTGCAAAACGACAACGAACATAGCTCCATCTTTCGAAGAAAATTATCCTTGAAAGATATGCAACTGTCAAATCATCAGCTCTGCACACTAAAAATCTTTTGTTCTGCTTCGGAAAAACAGTTTCTTTTCTTCGTTCCTTTTATATTGCTTTTTGAGTAATGAAATTTTATAACATATCACAACAGTAATAGAAATTCATTGGTAAAACAAAATGTAAGAAATATTAGAAAAAGCAATCTTTTTAGTTTATAAGTATGAAACTTTTAAAAAATTCTCCTTTATTTTTCTTTTGGCCTTTAATGCATATTTGTAAAAATACCATTTTCGACAATCAAAAACCATCTCCAAAGAGTGTGATTTGATGCCAATAATGGATAAGTATGACTTCACAACACACCCGTAAGATCTTCGAGCGATATGCTCTTTCAAACTTTCGTCAGATTGTTTGTCGCGAGATTCACGAGATATTTCATCGTGTCCAGGAATACGTAAGTACCCCATTTTTCAATTTTTATTTCATTAAACTTGCTAAATTAGATTTTAATTAATATCCCGAAATCTCTTTGAGCAATTTCATTAATATTACGTAATTCTTTACTCTATGCTTCTAGTTTAGGTCAGCAGTAAGTAACAGTGAGCGATACTGGGAAGATGGCGTTGTACCTTATGAATTATCACCGACATACAGTACGTATAAATGGCTCTTCTTAGCCTCATTTTCTTTTGAATATTAAAGATTAAAATTTAATTTTCTTAAAAAATAATTCCATGTTTCGTAATGAAAAATTTTATGAATCCTTTATGCATACTTTTATGATGAAATTAAGATCAAACATTATTTTGTTTATGAGGAGTACAATAACAAAGCAAAGCAGGTCTAACGTAGGTAATCATTTGTCTTGTTATTAAGTTAGATAATTATTTGTTTATATTGGAGATAATTTTACTTAAGCGTAAACAACAAAGAGTAACTTCTAGAAAGTTCTTCATAATAAATATCCATTTTCAAGGCATATAATCAAGGCAGTAAGCGTACAGCAGGAATGGAAATCAAATGTTGAAAGGTAGCATAGGATAAGCAGTGAAAATTTACGAAACTTTTGTGGCCTGTGATTTATATAAACGATTTTAAACGATTGTGATTTATATAAACGACTTGTGGAGTATTACTTATTATATTGATAACTCGTAGTGATTTATATTAAAAGATTGGGGGAGTATTTATGGAAGAAACGAAGTAATACAACACACACAGACACACACACACACACACACACACACAAAAAAAATGAAGGAAAAAAACTCCAAAAGCTTTCAGATTTTACATTACGCCCAAAGGGGCATTATTTTAACGTTTTGTGTGTTACCTTTATTTATTAAATATCATGTTCTTCGAACTTGAACCATAAAATTCAGTTCAAAAACAATATTGCAAAATAATTTAAAATGAGCATATCTTTAGAATTTCCCATATACAGTCTTGCACGCTGGAGATAATTTTTTTTGTACAGTGCTATTGCTCGCTTTGAAATCGTTGAGTTTGTTAATCAAAAGTTTGTTGAAGGTTTACAAAATATGACACAGATAATAAAACAAATTCCAATTTTTGGGCTAGCCATATTCGCGTGGAAACGTATGTTATTCAAAATTTGATGGCTCCAGATAACGTTGTTTTATCACAATGCGAGAAACATAGATACATTTATGAATATGCTTTATTATTTAATTTCTTTAAATGTAATACAGAGCTCTAATATTTGGTAGCAACAATTTGAAAAGTGAACGGAAATTTATAATGAATCAACGCAAAATGCGAAAACGAAGTTAGTAGTCCTTCTGGACTAATAACGGCTATGTAATGAAAAAACATATTATACATTTTTTATTTTAATTTAGAAGGATTGGATAAAAAGTAATCTCAACATGTCGATAGTTCATAAAGATCTCATTATAAGTGCAAAACTTCCAATTTCTCAATATAATCGCATGGCATATCTACCACGTTTTGCCAGACTGGTGGAAGGCATCGTACACCATCAGCTCAGCCGTATTTGTTGATGCCCCACAGCGAACGCTTTCAGGAGTAGATAAACTTTTTCTCTATTCTTGTAAAGCTCCATAGTAATAGTTCTTTCATTTTAGCGGAGAGATTTTAGTCCTACTGATTCATATCGAATGAGTATGGCAAATATATCTGACCTGACGCTTTATCAGCGTTCACGAGAAATCCGTACCATTTCTTTATTACCAGTTCCGCAGTACTTATGTGCGGTGTTTTAAAGAGAGCGCTATTACAAATATCCTGCAATGGATAGGATGGGAGGCACTGTAAAACCCACCATATTCATCCCATATGAGTTAATGTTACTGTAATCTCTTTCATCACCAGAATGGCAGAACTTCTCGTTACTTCTCGTTGTCGAGATGACATCTGAACTAAGGTTGTGATGCCTAACGGATTAATGTTATCCCTAAGGGAAAAAAAAAAAAAAAAAAAAAGCGCTACCGGCAGACACACATTTTCCGATTCAAGCGTCGCAGGTTATATGCTGTTAAATTACATAAAATATTACATAGTGCACAAGTAGAAGCTTCGTTAGATTATTGCATTCATTATTCGTAGTGATAATTTCTAGCATTGCATATTACACACAATTATGTTATATGCAACATTACATGGTGTACAAATGCTATGCTGTGCGTTTAACATATTTAATGTTTGAAGTGAGTATACATATATACATATATCATTAAAGACACAAAGTAAGGAATTTAGAATTAATATTTCACAAAGGCCAGAAATTGAAATTCATAATTAATAAATTTCAAATAAACATAGAAATGCAACAAAAAATTTAAAACAAAAACATTTGAAGCAAGTTAAACCCCTCTTCAAAAACCATGAAATTTAAAGAAAAATGAACAAAAACAGAAGAGGAATTCAATCAATCTCAAAGTCACTTCATCAGGGGGGAGGAACTTTGAACCTAATTGAAATCTCTCTTCTACAAAAATCCTTGCTTTTCCGTATCCAAAATTAGCCGATGAACCATTTCAATGTATTTAAATTATAATTATAAGAGTTCACCCGAAAATTCTGGCCCTTCCCCAAAGTAAGGGAAAATAAAACAAATTAAATTCTAATTAGAAAAATTAGAAAAATCCCTTCCCCCAAAAAACTCCATCTCTTTAAAAGAAACGAAAGCGAAAGTGAAAAAACTAAATACTTCAATGAAAAATGTTTTAATTTAAATGTTAACCTTTAAACAAATAATCCAATGAATTAAGAAGTACTTGATAAACCTATTTAGAACTCCTTTCCCTCTCATTAAACTATTGTCTAAATTTGAGATGCAATACAAAATGATGCGTACTTTTTTTGCCATTTTGGTATCATTTGCGAAATTTAAAAATCTTGTACGTAAATGTAATCTTGAAACCAATTATTTAATGTAAAAACCTAATCAAACTTAGAATAATCTTTAAAAAGAATTCTATTCTTTTAAAAGTATTGAAAACGAAAGTGAAAAAACAAAATACTATAGTGAATAATTTCTTAAATCAAAATGTTTACCTTTAAATAGATAATCCAATTAATTAAAATGTAGTTGAAAAACCTATTTATAACATACAAAAAGTAATCAAGAACTTCCATCACTCTCCCCATACTCCATTGTAAATCTTTGAGGTCATGCAGAAATGCTTGTATAGGTTTGACATCATAGCTTCATTGGCGAAACTAAAAAAACTTGGCAAGAAATTAATCGCTACTAAGGCTAAAATCTTGTACGTAAATTTAATTTTTAAAAGCAAAAGGAAAACTTTAAGAAATTATTTTACTTATTTCTTAGTCAAAGAAAAAGAATACATAAATTCAATGAAATTTAATTCAAATTTTACTCTTTAAAACAAAAAGAGAAAAATTAATATTTAGTGTAAAACCTAATTAAATTTTAAAATCAATAAATCTTTTATAAAATTGTCCAAAAACATCAAAGAGTTTTTAATAATGCACGGTAGATATGAGCAATGTAACTAAAAGTTGAATTTTAGTAATAAAATTTTATACTTTAAATTATAGAAAGCGTGGAAAAAGAAGTGAAGGAACTATGTTAGAAAAGTAAAAAGTGACGTCATGGGCTTCTCATGACGACTTTGAAAATACCCTGGTTATCACAAATTAAGGAAAAATCACAAAAATCACGATTACTGAAAAAGTGTACATGTAGAATTTTATGAAACTTACCCAAAATATACAACACATAGTAAGGTATCAAATAACATAAAAATAAATTACCAGACAATTATGATAGTGTAGAAATTAGCACATGTATAAATGAACAAATCAAAGGTGTCAATTTGTTATAGGAAAAGTACCTTCAATAGGGAATAATGTCGCTTCTAGAAGCAATACAGCCCCTACAGTGATGCGTGATGCTTTCAATAATGCGGTCTATCAGTTCCATAGGAAGCGAGAGCCATAGCTCTTGCAAAGCTGTTGCAAGCGCGGCAAGGGTCTGAGGGGGCAAACTGAGAGCAGCTAGACGTCTCTCTAAATCATCCCAAACGTGCTCGATAGGATTCAAGTCAGGGGATCGAGCTGGCCATTCCATTCGCATAATTGTTTCCGGTTGAAAATAATCATCTACGATGCGAGCCCTGTGCGGTCTTGAGATATCGTCCGGAAACAGGAAAGCATCACCTATTGCCTCGGCCATGGTCGCACATAAGCATCAAGGATGTCATCTCTATAAAACGGGGCATTCACGGTTTTCGTTGGAAAGACATGTAGGTCTGTGCGTCCACCCAAAGAGACGCCACCCCAAACACAGACACTGCCTCTTCCGTATGCATCTCTTTAACGGATGTTTGACGGATGATAACGGGTTCCATGTTCTCTCCATATCAAATAACGCCTACTATCGCTTTCTAGACTAAACCTGGACTCATCCGTAAAGAGAACAGCCCTCCACTGATCAAGCGTCCAGTGGACATGTTGTCGTGCCTACTGCGAACGGTCCCTCCTACGGCGTGACGTGAGCGGCACGCAAATGGCTGGTTGTCTTGCATACAGACTACCTTCATGAAGCCTTCTACGCACAACTGACGTTGACACCAACCTTCCGATGGCTGCAGCAAGGGAGGATCTAAGAAGAGTTGGAGTAGCGGTTCTATTCCTGCGTGCACATTATGTCAAATATCGGTCATCAGCGCTCATCGTAGCAGTTGGCCGTCCTTGGTTGAACCTCCTAGAGGCCGAATCTGTGGTTTGAAATCGCCTCCAAAGTCTGTGAAACACAGAAAGACTCGCATTCAGCCATCTGGCCGCTTCTGTTTGACTTTATCCTGCCTCTAGTCTCCCAATGGCTCTCCATCGTAGTTCTGCAGGCAAATGATGCCTGGAGGTCGTTGTTACAAATTGGCTATTTCAGATTTCTGATGTCTCTATCACAGTGAAATATGTGGGCTTGCTCTCAAACATGGACTTTTATTCTCCTCGTAGATGACGTATTCCGAGTGCAGCGCCTCTAATTTGCATATTGCAGTTTTACTCAGCTACTCTTACTTGGCAATATATTCAAATTTTTACGTTTTGGCTCATTTTTGAGGGAGTTATCGCTATTTTTGTGATTTTTCCTTAATTTATGATAACCAGTGTATATAAGGCCATAGATGTAAGAGAATAGTAACTAAAGTTATAAATAAAAATAAAAAATAAACGTAAAAAAATTAATATAAAAAATACAAAACCTATATACCCCTTAAAACATCCTTCTTTATCCTTCTATTTTGGAGCTTTCAGTTAAAAAAATTATACTTTTAAAAAGTATTATAGAGTGTAGACTACTCCTGATTACTTTAACATACTATCAATGAATTTTAAAGGAATTTCATTATCTTTTAAAATATTGACGAGAATTAGAATTTCTTCTCTTTGCATATCTAGTATTTCAGTGCATATTTTCTTAATTCTACTAATTTGGTTAAAATAGTATTTGCAATAACTTTTTTAGATATGTTAGAATTCCAATTAATAAATTTATTAGTAGCAAAATTTAAATCTTTTCTTTTATCAAAAAGTTTAATTTCCTTGAGGTTAAGAATACTTAGATCAAGATAAACTATTTATGTTTGGTTTTCCTTAGTTTTAGACGTAGATGTTGCTGTTTTCGATGAAATTAAAATTGTTGAAGGTAATGATGTCATCAATGACATTATTGTCATCAATTACATTGTCATCAATGACAATGTAAATTTAATTGTGTTCAAACTTACTGAAATTGTTATCAGAAAGGTTTTTAAGGAATTTAAATTCTTTAGAAAATAGAAATAGGTTACAAATATGAGTGGAATATGAACTTCCCATTGGGATTCCTTGTGTTTGCAGGTAAAGAAAGTCTGAATGTTTAATATAGTTATTGCACAGTGAAAAATGTAGAAATTCTTTCCATTTTTGTAAATACTGTAGATTAAGTATTTCAGAAAAAAAATTGTCATTTCAACAAGACTTTCTAGATTTCTTGGAGTGGCAGGGTCGTTTTCAATTTCTGATCTTTGTGAAATATTAGTTCTAAATTTCTTACTTTATGTTCTTAATGATAATTTTTCTGCAGCTTAAAGCGCGAAAATAATTAGGCATGCTTGTGTTTTGTTTTAAAAAATATTGTTTTGTAATAATATATATATTATTACGTGTTTTGTATTTAATTTTTCCATTTTTATAGAATTGTTATTAAATTATTTCATTTCTCTGTGAAATGCTGTGTGCAACAAATTTGAAGAGAAAGCTACGCCTGAAAAATACAGGAGCACGCGCGTTTAATAAATAGATATCTCGTAATTGCTTTTCTTATCTAGAAAAATCAAGATGATACGAGAATATTCTCGTGCATGATTAAAAAGCTTATAAAAGCTGGAGGAAAACATCTCAATTCAGTTGTTTTATGAGTTGTTTAGAAAACTGTTGTTTATTAAAGCGAAATTCGCGGTGAAATAGGATTAGCTTTCTCTGTTTTGACGCTCTGATGAACGTTTCAGTAGTTTAAAAAATAACTACTATGAATATATTGCGATATTGTACGAATTTCTCTAAGGAAATTTAAGCATTTTGTATTTATTCTTGGGATAAGAATAAATTTTATTAATTTTTCATTGGGGTTGTGCATTCAATTTATTACGAACCCGTACGCACGTAATAATATTTATATTAAGACAAACAAAAAAGGGGGAAAGAAGAAAATATTATGAAAGAGGAAGAGAAACAGCGTGATTTAAATAATATACTAAGATCGATTACAACAGCAGATGTGAGGTTATCCATGCCTTAGGATCTCGCTGCCAGGCAACATCTGAAGCAGACGCTCTGATAGTGTAGACAATTTCCAATTATTTGGAAAAGGTTGTATGCTTGGAACGGGAACTTATATTTCGGAAAACCTAATTATCCATACCTATTATAACAAAGTGTTTTTAGAACTATTGAAGTGTTCCCGCTATTTTTTCGAACCTTGTACATTTAGAAAATTATAAAATTTCAGAAGTGTATCAGATGCTGTTATTTTATATCAAGACTATGAATATATTTATTGCAATTTACACTCAAAGATCTCCTTCATTAATGAGCCTTTTTTTAAAAAAGCAACATTCGGTATTAAAATTAATAGTTAGCACTGATAAGCAAAAAGGACGATTTTTACGTAAGATTAGGGATAGGATTTTGGTTTATCAGAAAGCACACGTGGGCTATCTTCCTAAGGCAAGGAATATTTTCGCGGAGGACTTTCAAAACAAAACTGTTCAGATTTATGTTATAAGGTATTTTTCCTGCCTTCGTAACATGCCTTCGTGATCCCGGTCAGAACGCTTCACGCCTTCGGTCAGCACGCTCGGCGCGTGTTCGAGAGATCTGTGGTTCGAGTCCCGGCGAGAGCATTGCTCATTTTTCATCTCTCTTGCTTCGAAATAACCTAATGCCTCTATAATCTCTATAATTACACATCGGAGTACGACTATTTCAGTATAATTTTGCGAAAATTCTAAAGGAAAATAGCATAAAAAAATGTAGTAGAAATTAAGAAAAAATAAGGCAGTCCGAAATACGTGGATTTATTTGACATTCTTGAAAAAATCTAACATTCTGGGAATTTTATAAAATCTCTTAAAATTCCCAAAATTAATCCTGGAATTTCAAGTCGATAGTTAAAGTAATCGACAAAGTTAACAGTAAAATCATGCATTTTAATTTTAAATGAACTCGAAATATTCGAGGAATTTTAAAACCATAAACATATTCTCTGTCTACTTTATTAATAGTCTAGTTTTTCAATGGATGTTCAGGGATGTTATTGATCTGTCTGTACTGAACAAAAAAATCAACAACTAAAATAGCATAAAAATAATGTAATAGAAATTAAGAAATAATAAGACAATCCGAAATACGTGGAAAAATCTAACATTCTGGAAATTTTAGAAAATCTATACATAGGCGTAAAACTCATGTTGTAAGGATAAAAAATATATTCGGAGCTTCAGAAAATAAAGCTATTTGATAATCGTAAATCTTAAGAGTAATTTTTAAAGTTATCTTAATTTCAAACTGGCCTTTTCCAAATATTTATGCAAGGATATTTTAATTAAATTTCCAACTGAACTGCTACGTACCCTATTATACCCGGGTAATACGCTTAATGTATTCAAGTGCTTAAAAACATCTTTTAATTACTTTATATATTTTAAAATCAAGTTGAAAAGAATATTTTTAAGAGTACTTTTTTCTTCCTTTAAAGATGAAAGCGAGATCGGAATCATTTCTGATGCAATCGAAGAATTCCGGAACAGAACTTGCATACGATTTGTTCCTAGAAAAGATGAACTGACATATATCTTTATAGAACCAGACAGTGGGTAAGATATTTTTTCTTTTTTCTTTTTATTTAAGCAAATAATAATGTTAAAACTATCATTGTTAATTTGTTGAAGATATTGGAATTACTGTTATGGGTTTTGTACTGTTGCAAATATATGCACTGAACAAGATGCAAAAACTAAGTACCTTTTTTTTAAGCAAATGTCAGGTTTTCTTATTGTAAACACTGTTTCTTTCATTTAAATAAGTGGTAAAAGTACTACTAAATAAAAATAAAATTAATTAAAAAACTGTGATCTGAATAGAAAGAAATTAAGATTAATAAACTAAAATCAGATGTAAAGGCTTATTTAATTACATTCAAATAAAAAATAGTATGCCTGAAAATCATATAAAAGTATACTCATATGAACAGTAAACTAGAAGTTTTTAGCTTATCGTATCCATTAAATGAAAAAAAATGATTTAGTTCTAACTAACTTAAGAACTACTAAACTTATGACTATTCAACTAATTATACCACCGCAGCTCTTCTGGATTTGAACAATTCTTTTGACAGAGTATGGAAAAACAGATTAATCAATAAATTATATGAAATTTTCGCTATCGATGGAAGGGCTCTTTCATGGATCTACGATGTTCTTAGAAAAAGAGTTTTCTGTGTTAAATACTCTCTCTGTTAGATGCCTATCAAAACAAGCAATCCCTCAGGGAGTCCCATCCTCTCTGCATTATACATCTCCTTAATGAAATATGTTTTTACTCGTGATTGCAAAATTGGTTTATTTACTGACAACAGTTTGGTGTAGTGGTTTAAACATGGATAATCCCGAATACAGTATAAACAGATTTTGCAGGGTATCACAAACTTAAGTTTTAATATTCTTAAAATCTATAACCAAGTTCTTTAGAACAAGCAGACAGGTTATACAGTTACTGTCCGAAAATTTCCCTAAATAGTAACCTCTTTAAGTGTGAGAGGAATTCAAAATACTTATTTTGTCCTTGACTCTGAAATCACGTGTAATAAGCACATAGATATACTAGTATCTAGTGTTAGAAACAGACTGTATTTTAAACTTTATTTCTGGCTGCAACTGGGGCGCTGACACCAAATTTGGGGTGAAAGAAATATCTCTCAAGCGTATAAATACCGATTTCTGTTCCATTTTCAGCTCTGAAGTGATTGCTATTGAAATGACTTTGGATTGTGTTTTAGAGCGGCGTTTATTCAGGGAAACCTGAGTCCTAACGGGCAGCAGAAGTGTAATCCAATATCTAGATAACTGAAGAAATATTAGAGATCTGAGAGGAATTAAAGTTATCAAAAAAAAAAAAAAAAAAAAAAAAAAAACCCAAGACCTTATCCTATTCTTCTGTCTTCTGTCCTTCATCTACAATAGATACAATCTCATGCAAATCTAAAATATAATAATATAGCTGATAGAGTAACAAAGGAGTATACTTCCGTGCTTCAGGTTTATGCTGAATTTTTAACTTAGCTTGAACTATACTCCAGATGAAAGGCTTGGAGACAGCTATTGACCATTCATTAATAATTCTTAGGGATAGCTACTGACACACTCATGGTTTCACAGTACAGGTCCTGGTACTGCTGTTGGTTTAAAGGGCGAGAGGAAGGACTAAACGGCTGTGGCTCGGCTGACTTCAGGACATTTAAGGACCCTTAGATATTCCCGGTGTACTAAAACTTTTTCCACTTGCGCCAAATGCAAAAACCATGAAGCTACTGTGCAACATCTATTTAGTTGTGTTGCCTTGGTGCGTGATGATCTGCTGAAGAGATATAATTTCGTGTTGGAAGTGAGTTAAGCAAATAAACTTAGGGATCTGATCTGAGGATTAGTAAAAAGAACATAATTTGCAGTCAGTTTAAAAAGTTATCTAATATCTATTTATTCGAATCCTAGAACAGCTTCTTCATCTCATAGGTGAATCTTCCTTCTTGATAAACCATCCAATCTAGATGATTCCCAATTTTCTTTATTCCGTAATATAATCTAATTTACATTTCCTTCGAACTTGTATGAGCCTTTTCTGCCCCAGTGTATGAAGAAGTGAGGAATACTGCAGCATATTACGAACATGTACAGATCACTTTTAACAGAAAAACTTGAATATCTATTTAGATAAATAACAGCTCTAATAAACGGTAAAGTATCTTTAAATAGCTCGAACAACAGAGGAGTTAACGTGAAATTCTCTTTAATATGAGAAGTATATCAAAGATTCCCCAAATCGCTCGCAGAGTAATCTAAAGCCACAATAGAGCAAGAAGCTCAAGCGTAAAACAGTCACAAACTCTGAACTAATTCACTCTGAATTTAGTGAATTAATTAACTGAGTGCAGATTTAAATACGTTAATATTTATAGGGTTATCAAGGATCTTCACTTCTTGAAGCTTGTAGATAAATCGCTGCTATGGCTTATCCATATCATTATATAATGAGAGTCTATAATATGAAGGTTCCATTTCCAAGCTAACGCTTTGAGACACTACCGATGAAAATCTGACTTTTCTTAATTTTTCATACCAGTGCAGGAAAGTTTCCTAGGTTTTTTTCCTATTCGTTTCCTTTACATGTGAGACGTGAGTTTATACTACAGCATTTGTTTCTGTATTCGAATCCAGTTATCTTCTTAAAACGAATTTGCATGAACGCAATCAGCCTTTATTCAAGGCGAACACATGGACTCAGTTTTCTGCTTCTTGAAACTAACAAAATAATCTCTGTACTTTCTTTCTAAATGGTATTACTTTGGCTACAGATTTCCAATAATTTATATTTAGAATTTTATTTCCTGTTCTTTTTTTAGGCAGCCTACATTGAAAACAAGGAAAAAAACAGAAAATTGTACTAAAGCTTGAAATTCTTATGCAAATGCAATTTAGAGAGCCGTTTATGTTTAGCATTTGTCAGTTTTTGCGAACATTTCATGAACTTAAAATTAATAAATCATTTGCGCTGTATATGTAATGATTCAGAAAAAGTATATATTCAATGTAAATTAATCAGTTTTTACATTCGAAGAACCATTTATGCGTTACTAATTATATTTTCAGTTGTGCATTGCTGTCATTATATTTGCATTTGCGTACAATAACCACATATTTATATATATTATCAGATGCAGTTCAATCGTTGGTATGATAAGAGAAAGGTCGAACAACGTTTCATTGAGCACAGGATGTTATCTGAAAGGCACAGTTTTGCATGAGCTCATGCATGTTATAGGTTTTATCCATGAACAAAACAGGCCGGATAGAGACGACTTTGTGAAAATTTTTTGGGACAACATTATTGAAGGTAAGCTGAAATAAAGATAAATTGTGGCTATTGAAAGAAGTAAAGCAGAGTTATAAATATTTTCACTGTAATTTACAAAATGCTTAAAAATTAGTAATCTAGGAAAACCGTTTAGCACCCCTATTATTTTCCTTTTGAAGCATGAATGTGCATATAGAGTACTTGTCTGTTACTAATAATGTTATGTCTATAAAAATTATCAAAATGGAACTACCTACAAAAGGTCTAAATTATTTTATTTTTCAAAAATTAACGTTTAAAACAATATATAGATAATTCTTTCTTTCACTCTTTGCAATTGTATCTAAACAAATAAATATCAATTTGGACGAACTCTGAGCAGAAAAGCGGGAACATGAAATGTATAAGTAGTTTAAAATTAACCCTAAATATATGGACTATTTACTTTCTAGTTAGTAAAATGTACGTATATGAATTGATGTTTTGTGTGTAGGATTCTGCTTTGTTAAGACTCTAAATCAATGTCTTCCAGACCCTACTAAACTGATAAACGAGTTATCGCTCTAGTCGGATGCAAAATGACAAAGTCTTATGAAGTAAAAATAACATTTTTATTAACTCTTATAATATTATCGTAACACAAATTTACCTAGGTATTAACAGAAGACTTGTGTTAGGAAGTGAAACTCCATGAATTGAGGGTATTTTAAATAACGTGAATTCAAATTCAAATTTAAGTAGCATAGTCTGAATCTGCATACGTAATAATCTATAAGTAATTAACGGCGTGCTTTTAACGTCGGCTAGCAAAATGGCTAAAGCTGGAATAAACTTTTCCAGAGCTGGCGATAGGATGTAAACTGCAAGCAAAATTGCCAGATGCTCTAAAACATTACGACCTTCGGTTTAAATACTCAGTAACTAATTTGCATTCTTGCAATTACTACAGAAACAAGAAGTCATAGTTTCAGACTACAGAAAGAAGAATATTTAAATTATAATATTTGGTTATTTAGCTAAAATCCTACATGTGTGGATATTTTCTAATCACGCACTTGCATAGTTTAATTTTTTAAACTTCTTCTTAATTCTTTATTAAATATTTAGGTGCGCAGATTCAATAGTACGCCTTTGCTTTCCAGTATTCTATGAGAAAGCATATCGGTTATAGGTTTATTTTTGATATACACTGTGTGATATTGTAAGTTATACTGAATTACGTAAACAGTGATTTTAAAATTGTAACACAAATTTACCTAGGTATTAGTATGACTTATACAATGATTTTTAGTATAATAATTATAATCTTTAAACTACTATTAACTTTTGCATATTTGGCTTCTTTTTATATCAAGCATTTGAAATAAATTAAATGTCTGATGTTTCTAACATGCTAGACTTTTAATCAGGATAAACTTATGTTTACTATAATTTGTTTCTCCCTTTTTTTAACAGATGCGAAACTCAACTTTGAGAAATATGCATGGGACCAAGTGCACAACTTCAGCAGTGGTTATGATTACGGTTCAGTCATGCATTATGGTGCTTATGCATTTGCAATAAATGACAGTTTGCCAACTATTGAACCTTTAAAGAAAGGCGTTGAGATTGGGCAGCGAGACAATTTCAGCGATCTAGATGTTATAAAGATAAATTCGCTTTATAATTGCTCTCAAGAAAAGAAGGATTTTCCAAAAATTCCAAGTAAGAAAATTTGATTACTGAATAGATTGCATTTTAATCGAGATTAAGTATAATAGACGACTTCTTTTATCTAGCCCTCTGAGTGGCAGAGCGATTTGAATCTGCTCATGAAGACAACATTTAATAGCTAAATTTATTTTTAGTGTCTGATTTCGTAAACCTCTATTCATTAATGATTTTCGAAAATTCGACGAAAAATCAGAAAATTAGATTTAATACAAATTTCTTTTAAAATTTTTTTTTACTCTATCCGATGGTCAAATAGTAAAATTCTAAGATTTTTAGTTTTTGTTTCGTAAATGGAGATATGTATTCGAAATCTTTTCAACATTAAATTAAAGAAACTATATATCAAATTTTGAAAAAAAAAATCGCTTCTTCACATTCTGTTCACTGAAGCAGCGGTCGAATAGTTAAGATCCTTGAAAATCAGTAGATCGATCTGGTTTGGGTTCGATTCCAGGGAAACCATCTTTTTTTTTTTTTTTTTTTGTTTGTTTTGTTTTGTTTTTGTTTTTCCGTCTGTGTAACGTGAGTACGAGTCAGTTTTCTTTAGAAAATAAGTATCCCTCCTCTTTGTAAGATAATTCTTGTGGCTTTGCTGTATTTACGTAACGTTCAGTCAGCCACAAACAGAGTGCGTCTAAAATTTTAACTCGATAACTCATTGAAAAGTTATTTAAAGAGTAATGACAATCTTTTGACCGTAGCAACAAACGCCATGAGAGCTAAATAAAAGCTTATAACAATCACGAACTTTTTTGCTGTAGAATTGAACAGAAAGCATTTTGAAATAATTGAAATTATTACTTACTTACGTAATTGTTTTGCTAGATTCAGTATAAAATATTTATTTTTTGTACCTGCATCAGAATTTTTGTTTTACAAAACACACATCTTTTTTTAAAGTTATTATTGCACATATTAAAAATATAGGGAGCTAGAACAAATCAGAACTGGCATAAATATACTAGATGATTTCATCTTGGAGAAAGTATATCGAGAACTATTTTGCGAAATCACCCTCATTGAAAATTTCGTTACATCATATCCGGTAATGCTCACTCTCCGTGAATGTATATACAATTATATGAACCACACAGTTATGGGAACAAAAAGGGAAGAATTACTACAAAGGAAATACAAAAGAATAGACACATGAATCTATCAAATGCGGGCCTACGACATTGAAATTTGAGATAAATTTAATAAGCTGCAGTAGTAAATAATATCAGATTCTATTAGTGTGAGTTTAATAGAAGCAGAGATTATACTTTATAATTTTCAAGAGAACTGGAGCATGCATTTTTACTGGTAACATCGGAACAAGGGTACCCAGTTAACGATATTCAAGCAACAATTCTCAAGCATATCTCAAGCATGGTGACTTAATAATGAAAAGTTTAAGCAGCACAGTTGTCACCATTTGGTAATGTCTTCAAAAACGATTCCATATAACTCAGGTTTTTATGAGAAATCCGTAGCAGAAAAATTTCTTTTTGTTAAACAACCTTTGAAGTAAAATGCTTTGGCTGGCAAAATGCAAGGATATTATTAGTTGCCAACGTTTAGAGTCTTTATTGATCTATTGTCATATGAAACGCAGGAAATAAATGTAAATACTTGTTCAAGTAGCATAACAATATTTTAAGTTTGCTCTCAAATTGCCCAATAATGATCAATTGTGTTTTATATGTATTAGAGTTAACTGCGAAATTTTATACTTCTTTTAGAAACGAGTTGAATAGCTAAAATTTCATGTAACAGAGTCGTAATTTTTCTTATTACACAAAATAACAGCCTAAATATTTCTTTCATGGAATTCAAAAAATTTAAGAAAAGTTTTTTTTTTTTTTTTTAATATTTCACTAGTATAAATTTTAACCTCGTCCCATATTGGAGAAGTCAATATGCAAAATATTCTCTGTTCTGTACAATTCTGTATTCTGAAGTCCCGTTCAGCTCCGTAAAAACTTCCCTCTTGATCAAAATTTACGCATCAATTAAAAAAAGAAAACATTAGCACACCCATTATATGCTTGAAATATCAGGTTGGGGGAAGAATAATATTTGATAAACACTGCAAACTTAAAAGAATTTGCATATTTTGTTAAATTTCTGTGAAACTAATGGACGCATTTTGATGAAATTTAGTATGAAAATGCATTTATATCAGAGAAAGAGGTCTACAATTCAAACACCATTTTATGTTCATATGATTATCAGTAAAGATATAAGGCATGTTCTCCCTCCTTTCTGCATGCCTTCGCGATGTGACGGTAACACACTCGGCGTATTCAAGAGGTCCTGATTAGAGTCCTGGCGAGGGCATTGCTCATTTTTTATGCTTTCTGCTTCAAAATAACCTAATGACTCTACAGTGGAGCCCGAACTAAAAGGTGGTGAATGATGATTCATCACCACCAGGTTTTGGACATTGGGTTCTATAATCACATTCTCCCTTTAAAATGGGAGGTATATAAGTCATTGTCTCCCTTCTTTCTGCATGCCTTCGTAGTGTAACCGTAGCACACTCGATGTATTCGAGAAGTCCAGGTTCGAGTCTCAACGAGGGCATTGCTAATTTTTCACGTTTTCTGCTTCAAAATAACCTAATGACTCTACAAACCTCATAGTGTAGGGATGCCCAAATCCACATTGTGATGTTGAACTGTGAGTCTCATGGGGAGTATTATCTCCTCTCCTAGCCAGATAGACCGCAAAGCCTCACGGCATACGGACAAGACGCAGCTACTCAATCCCACTCCTGCAGCAGGACAGTTTTCAATTTCACAATGTTTTTCAGAGGGGGATGGCGAGAGGAAATTACCGCTGTCCCTAAGACCCCCCAGACATGCTCTATAAGGTTGAGGTCAGGAGATATCGACGAGCAATCTATGCGGCGAATATTCTCAATTTCCAGGTAATTGTTGACCATCCGAGCTTATGTGGACGAGGGTTGTCTTCTATTAAAAAGAACTCGAACCTGGACCACTTGAACACGCGCCGAATGTACTACAGTTACACTACGAAGGCATGAAGAAAGGAGGAAGAATACATTTTATATATACCCGCTTTTTAAAGGGCGACTGGGAATTAGGGAACACAATCGCCAAATCATAGGTGAAGAATCATCACCCACCACCTTTTAGTTCGGGAGCTACTGCAGAGTTCATTAAGTCATTTTAATGCTGGAGACGTAAAAAATGAGCAATGTTCTCGTCGGGACTCAAACCTAGACCTCTAACGATTATACCAAGAAAGCATGCAGAAAGGAGGGAGAAAATACCTTATAAGCCTCAATCAAAACGTCTAGTCAATTGATGCGCAATTTAGAAAATAGTATATATGAATACACTAAATACACAAAATAAATTTAACTATGGAAATTTACTTGCATGAAGCTACAATAATCTACTACCATTTATAATCATTTGAGCTAAGGGTATGGGAAAACATATATATATTAACATATATATATATATGTTAATGAAAGAAGGCTTACGCAAATGTCAAAAGTAAAATAAGAATTAGTATAAGTAAAGTAAGAATTAGTATATCAGCCAACGCTAGGTAGACATCACTACATTTATAAGGTATTTCTCCCGCCTTAGGATGCCTTCGAATTGTAGTGGTCAGCACACTGGGCGTGTATTCCAGAAATCCGTGGTTTGATTCCCGGCGAAGGCGTTGCTCATTTTTTACTTCTGCTTTTAAAAAAACTAATGTCTCTACAGTTGCGCCCGAACTAAAAGGGTGGTGGATGATGATTCTCCACAATCAAGATTTGCGACTGGGTCCCCTCAAACCCCAGACGGCCTTTAAAAGGGGGATTATATAAGGTATCTCCCTCCTTCTTAGCATGCCTTCTTAGTGTAGTGGTTAGCACGCTGGGCGCGTATTCCAGAGGTCCGTGGTTCGATTCTCGGCAAAGGCGTTGCTAATTTTTCCTCTCTCCGGCTTCGAAATAACCTAATGTCTCATTAACAAGAATTACACATTAACAAGAAGCTCGCCGTTATCCATGGTATCTATGAGGCTTCAGATGGAACGGAGCAGCTTCTCAAAGAGTACAATTTCTGAGTTCCTCCTTCAAACAGATGTTCCGTTTCTGACTCCATCCTCATAAATAAAATTCACATCGGTGAGCTTCGAGTTTGTGTAGTGATGCATACTTCTCGAAAACCGCACGGGGAATAACAATTTACATCAGCCGAACACTTTTACCGTCCGCGCAAGAACGTCCCATGACCTCAACATTACGAAGTAACATTGCGGCAGACGAACTTCATAATAAAATTTGCTTATTTCAGTATCCTCTTCCAGCTTTTACGTTCCTACCAGATGATTTTTAATTATCCTGCATGCTTGTATTATAATTTGATAGATAAAAATGACCAAGTTATTTATTCAAGTTGAATAAGCAAACTTAAATTTAATAAATTTGATATTCAAACGTTGAAGTCAATTATCCGTAACTGAAAACTTCAAGATTTTCCTGCTCATATTAGATTTCCTGCTTTCAGTTGAAATTTGGGTATTTGCATACCTGAATCTCAGATGTCTGTATTGATTAAATGCTTCAAATTAGTAACAGGAACTTGCATCGTAACATTTTCTACTTACGGTTGAATAAACTTCTAAATGAAAGATACGTCTCCTTAATTTTCCTAGTTTCCTAATTACATGACTGCTTACATTCTCTCGCTTATTGCTTACAGCAATTTCTCGTGGCAAAAGCGTTGTTTACTAGTCATAGTACTGTAGTTAAATGGACGGAGTCTAAATTCGACGCCATTTTGAGTCAGCAAGCATATCGCTCACAGTTTCAAAATTACTGAAGAATAGCTCTCAGCTACAGATCTCTCAGCTCAGTTTATTAAAAATTACTACGTTTAGTTTCTGCCCTTAATAAAAATAATTTAAATAATATTCATGATGCATGCTTACGATGAGAAGTGTTTTAATAAAGCAATTAAATGCATGAATAAAACTCATAA